TCTGCCCCATTGTGTAGATGAAGTTTTAAAAAAAAACAGAAAAGGCTTTGTGCCTTAGAACAGACTCTTAGACTCTTAGCAGCTGCATCCGTCGTTTCTAGGACTCCTCATGAGAGGGCTCTTTGAGCTCAGTGGCTGATTATGGTTCCAACAGCTTGTAAATCCAGGGAACATATGGCTGAGTAGTAGCATGTTAAGCTCTTATGTACTTTACCCTGCCACGGTTGATCCATTACACGGGGCACATCCAAACCTGTCAGCAAACTGTGAGACTGTGGCCTCAAGGCTTCATTCAACTGCATTAAGAACTGTCTCCTAGCTCTGTGTGAAAATGTTGCCTTATTATCATGCCCACTTAGCATTTTATGGTACTGTACAAAGCAGCTACATCAGAAACTTTGAAGAGTGAAAACACTGAAATCAATATCTGGATATCACACTGCGCTGTATTGATGGAGTTGTACTAGTGGAGTGTTCTTAAACTGCTGTGTTTTATTTGTCCAGATTTCTGAATTTGCAGAAGGCAGATTAACCCTAGCAGTAGGGCATATCAAAAGATTTCCTTTTGTATAAAAGCAACCAGTTAACTCCCTCAGTAAGGGGTGTGCTTTCAGGAAGCCATGTGCTTTTATTTCTTTGGGATATTTCTATCAGTGTGGTCTGTTCATTTATGGCTCCCTTATAACTTCTCTTAGCACATATTGCAGGAAAACATTACACTTAAATAAATGCCAGGAAAAAATAATATGAATCAAAATTTTTATAAATGCTTTATGCTCCTTGATGAAATAATACTGCTTTGGAGAATTTATCCTAAGGAATAGTACAGAGACGTGTCAAAGGTGTATGCACAAGGGCATTTATAGTGGTATTATAACAATTAGAAATGGGAAGTAACCTACATTTTAGGATAACTATAGGGAATGGTTAAAACATTATATACTCGTTTGCTGAAAAAACATGTAACCGCTACAAGTTATGTTTTTGAAAAAGACCGAATGACAGAAGAAAATATACACCGTATAATGTTAAGTTAAAAAATCAGGCAAAGGAGAATAGCAGTGTTCATCTCTGGATAATATAATTATGGGTACCTTTATGATTTCCTGTTTTAAATTATCAAAAATTGTTTTTATAATCAGAAAAGAATAATAAACACTATTTATACACCAATGCATATATCTAAAAGAAATATCAGCAAAGCTGGGGCAATCTTAGCACCTAGCTCTCAATAAATGTGTGTGGGATAGGTAGAGATGATGGACAGATATATGAATGAATGAATGACAGTTGACACTTGTAGGTACCACCATTGAGTTTATAAGCAAGAAATAACAAATGAAGGTATGTTAATTAAAAGGCTATTCCAGACCAGTCAGCAGTTTGAAAGATGGAATCACAAAGTTGAGTGGCTGATGGTAACCAAAGGAATTGTGGTCTGTCCTTGCTGCTCTTGTTGCCCAGCTATTGGCACCATGTTTCTGCTTATTCTGTGTGCATTCTTGAAGTATCTCATGTTTGCTGTTTTCACTGGTCTCTATTCAGTTTGGCCAGTGACTGAGCATGGTGAGAATGAACTCAAGGTCAGGAGTTCAGGAGTTCAATTCCCATGTGAACCAGTTTATACTTCTCCATCTAGGGAGAAGATATCTCAAGGCTAACTCTGACTGGCAGTGGTAATGTGGACAAGCAGAAAAGTGTTGGTAGGTCAGGGCAAACTGCCTGTAACACTTGTGAAACCACTCAAAGCACCCCCGTACAGAGGGCTATGTGTCCTTATGTTCTTTGAGAGTAGTCCTCTGAAACTGAGGTGTGATATGCATAACTTTACCTACCCAAGTAATTAATATAAAATTTAGTTATATCACATTTTAAATAACAAATTCACAATAAGCAGATCATGGAAAGTTTAAGTGGGACTGATTGACCTGCATTGTATTCTACAATGTCTTAATATCTGGGCTATTTTGATCAAATTGCTGTACAGAATCTGGCTTCTTTGCAAGTCCATCAGGAGACAACGTTGGATGTGTGAATGAAATTGGAATGTTTCCTCTCCAGTGCATTCTCTTATCTGTGAAGGAGCCTGCATCTAAGAAAGCCACTCAACTTTTGCACAACATTCTGTATCTCTCCTTTTGGTGTCTTATTATGCACAGTGGTCTTAATTGCGGTTACATTTAAACCCAAGTGTATGATACTAGTGCCAGTGCCTTGTTTGTATCGGCTCTGTCTTGATACTGCCAAGGTATTAGATTTATTGTCTTTTTCAACCTGAGTCACCTCTCCTCATTTAAAAAAAAAAAACTTAGTCAGGGGTTGAGGAATTTGCTGTTCTGAGCCAAATTGTCCTGGTTCTATAAGTCAATGATATATGAACATGATGGACTCCCTTAAGTGGATCACTGGCTGTTTTATTCAGGATTTTTTAAGGAAGAGCATGAGAATTAACATATTTTGAGCACTAACAATGCGCTATAGTTTATTAGACATTTTCAAATATATTATCTGAGTAATTCTTACTATAACCATATAAATAATTCTTACTATAACCATATAAGGTAGGCATTACTACCTCAATTGTATACATGAGGAATCCGGCTTTGAGAGTTTAAATGACTGAGTTATCATTTGAAGTCCTGATGAACTTGGACGCCTATGATTTTTCCACTGCACATACTGACTCCCAGGGACAGCAAGGTTTCTTTAGTCAGATTGAACCTAATACTACAATGATCACCTAGCTTCCCCTCAGCTCCTTTTCTCCTGTAAACTTTAAATAATATTTTATTTTTAATGACAATAGTTGTATATACTTATGGGTACAGTGTGATGTTGATATGTTTAAACATGGAATGATTAATTCAGGTTGATTTCCATTCCACTTTGCTTATATTACCTTAGCAAGACCAGTCTTTTGTAGCAAGGCCAGGAATTAAACTTTGAGCCACCAATAAGGTTTGAGTCTGCTTTCAATTTTGTCCAAAATCCAGCTATTCTTTGTATTTTATCCAGCTCCCAGTAGCTCATAGCCCAATTCAAGAGTTGCCTTGTTTACTTGCTGGCCTGTTTACTTGCTGATGCTCAGCACCTTAAGCATATTTAGGTTTCATCATCCACTTGAGAGCCAAAAAGTTCTTTAGTTGTAGGAACACAAAGCTTGGTATGGTGGAAACAAGTATGTTTCCCTCCTGTGTCAGAGTGGTAGTAAGCAAAGCAACTGAAAAAAAGTTTACCAAAGGTGGGTTGTTGCATATGAAGGAGAATAGATCATTGAGAAACAGGCTATTTGGGCCAAAGACAGAGGGAGAAGTTAGGGAGAAGGAAATTTTTGGAAAGTGAAAGAGATGATCATTATCCTCTGAATGACTGATGAGAGAAAGCTAGGGGTAATCTAAGACTGAAGGGGAATTAAGAAACCCCAAGTGCAGAGAATTACGTGTGGTGACATCCTTTTGAGAGGAGGATGGCTGGATTCTGTACAGATCCTAAAACATAATTTGAGATTTGAATGGAACTTGTCAGGGGTTCTTGGAATCAGCCATTACACATTGGACTCAAATGCATCCCCAGCCTGTTAATTTAGAGATACTGAGGGATTAACCTTCCGAGGTTGCTTTAGTACCAAATCCCAACCAAGTTAATCCATACTGTTTTGGTTTCTTTTTGCCCTCTTTTGTGGTCAACTCAGCAGCCTTCTGGGCAGTATTCCAGTTTAGGGCATTGGGAGCCGTACTCTAACTCCACTGTGGAGACCAGGAAGTTGAGGAAGGGTTACAGGGAAGCTCAGGAAGGCAGCGCGTGGTTCTTAGTTTCTTCCCCATCCTGTTCTTGAATTTTTGCTGCCAGAGTTGCCTGGAGGGAGCCTGGGCATAATTCCCAGCTGCCAACATTGTCATTTTCTGTACCCCACAGAAAAGAGGATGAGTCACCTGCTCCTCAGCTGATTTCCATTTTGGTGACATCTTATGTGTCTGGGTTTCTTAGGAAAATGAAAATTTGGGAATAAATGGAAGAAGGTCTAGCCCTGAGAAGCAAAGTGGCTCCAGTCTGGAAAGCTTGGCAGTGCCTGTCTTGGTACCCACCTCTTTCCCCTCTTTCTTTCCTCCCAGTGTCTCAGAATTTGTGGTTCAACCTTGTCATAGCAAGTAGCTACAAGTGACACATGAGGCCAACCGAGGGGTGGGGCGCCAAAGACTTTAAAAGGTGGCATATTGGGAAGGGTCATAATAGCAGCAATAATCGCCAGATAGGCTCTTTCCCAACCATGAATGCCATGAGGTATGGAAAAAGACCAGCTTTCGACCAATTCAGTTTCTACATTTTATGCAAACTCACTATGTAAAACCTCTGATTCACATCAGGGAGGCTGGGAGGTAGAGGGACTCCTCACTTTACCAAAGAAATTACCGTAGTAAATCACTATAGTAAACAGTTAAAGAGAACAAAATCTCATTTCTCTAGTGCTGTGCTCTCCGGTATGGTAGCCACTGCCACTTGTGGCTATTGTACATTTGAAATATGGCTAGTTTGAACTGAGATGTTTTGTAAGGGTAAAACACATAAGATTTCAAAGACTTAGTATAAAAAAAGTAGTACTATTTATATTGATTACATGTTGAAACAATATTTTGGTTATATTGGGTTAAAGAAAACATTAGCATCAATTTTACCTGCTTCTTTTTACCTTTTTAACATAGTTACTAGAACATTTTGAATTATGTATATGGTTTACATTATATTTCTATTGGATAGTGCTGCTGTGGTGATTTCAAAAATAAGATTTGATATATAAGCATTTTTATAGCAGTGCATTTCTCGCTTGAAGTATGTAAACCTGGACAGGAGAGGCCCATTTCAAAAGGAGGACAGGGAGAAGTGGAGATTTACAAATGGGGAAACTGATTATAGAAGAAAGCCAGGACCCTGCTTCAGTTACCTTTCAGTCTGGGGATGGAGGATGCGGGTTCGGGGGGTGGGCTCCGTTGCCAGAAGCAGGTGGTCTTACTCCCTTAGCTTCATCTGATCTAGCTGGGGCTCAGAGAAAGGCACTTGGAAACTTCTGTGCCCTTGCTGTCTTAGCCATCAAGCTCTGAGTTGGAGATAGTGACGATGTGACAGGAACTCTCCCCATGCCTCTCTGGGCCACCATTCCTGGCTGAGAGGAGGCAGAGGATTGAGGTGAGCCCCTTCTTCACTCCCAGGGCCATGTGGTAGAGCTGCTGTCGCACCTCCTTCTGCCAGTAGGCATAGATGAGTGGGTTGAGCAGAGAGTTGCCCACACTGAGCAGCCACAGGTACTGCTCCAGCACTGGGTAAAGGTAGCATTCCTGGCAGGCTGCCCGCACAATGCCAGTGATAAGGAAAGGGGCCCAGGACAGAGTGAAGCTCCCGATGAGAACAGATACCGTGCGGATAGCCTTGAAGTCGCTGGGAGTCCGAGGGGGCCGGTAAGCTCCAGCCATGGCTCCTGCATGCTCCATCTTTCGGATCTTCTGGCTGTGCACAGAGGCAATCTTGAGCATGTCGCAGTAGAAGAAGACAAAGAGGAGCAGGGCTGGAAAGAAGCCCACGCAGGAGAGGGTCAGCACAAAGCGAGGGTGAAACACAGCAAAGAAGCTGCAAGACCCATGGTAGTTGGTCTCCTGGAACATGGGAACTCCGAGTGGGAGGAAGCCAATGAGGTAAGACACCAGCCACAGCCCAGCAATGCAGGCCCCAGCCACGAGCCCACTCATGATCTGGTAGTAGCGGAAGGGCTGCTTGATGGCAAGGTACCTGTCAAAGGCAATGAGCATGACTGTGAGGACAGAGGCAGCTGCGGAGGAAGTGACAAACGCCATCCGAAGGCTGCACAGGGTCTTCTGTGTGGGCCGAACAGAGCTGGAGAGCTGGTCTGTGACTAGGCCAGAGATGGCCACACCAATCAAAGTGTCAGCCACAGCCAGATTCAAGGTGAAGCAGAGACTGACACTATCATTCTTCTGGATCAACAAAAGCACAGCCACAGCCACTAGTGCATTAGCAGCAATGATAAGGAAGGCCAGGACAGCAAGGATCACTCCAAAAGGGTAAGATGACTCCATGTCTTGAAGTGGTAGGACTTCCACTTACCAGGGCATGCTGGCTCTCCAGCTCAAATTCTCATGGGCCAGGGGAGGAGGAGCTGTGAGTTCAGAGCTACAGCACAATTCTGGCCATCGCTGGTAGTCCAGACTGGCGGCTCGCCATCTTTGGGATCCTGCAGGTCATTAAGGATCACTCACCCTCTCTTTCAGTCCTCAGCGCTCCTGCCTCTCCAGCTCTCTGAAGGCAGCAATCCCAGTGCAGACCTCCCCCAGATCCTCAGCTAGTCCCTCCCCCTCCATCCACCAAGTTACTAGACAACTCCCAAGTACCTGTGCATGCTGTCTCGCCAGGCCCTCTCCCTTCACTGATGCTTCAAAGACTCTGGAGGGATGGGACATTCATCTGGTCTCTTGTCTGGCAGAAGATATAACTGACTAATCACCCTTCTTTCCCCTCCATGGCTTGACATTAAATTTCTACTTCTTCCGAAGCCTCAAGTACCAGCTTAATAACTAACCTCGGCTTAATTGAGCATTTGCTTAATAACTAATTCTCAGCTACTACTGTGAGCTGCTTTTAATCAAGCAAGATGACCGTAATCAGTTGAAGTGAGAAGTGAAGGCAAGAGAGCTATTTGAAGGGCCTGGCATACTTTCAGGGGCGTTACCATTTAAGCTGTTGCTTACCTTTTGCTTCCTAGCACCCCATATTTGAATCCTCTCAAATGGGATGTGCTGTTCCCCTGTTTCTCATACCTTAGAATTCAGTTTGGTGAGGATTCAGAAGGACTGGAGGCACAAGGCAAAGAACTGTTAACAGCTGCCATTCAGTTCAGATGAGCCCATTCACCTAGAGCTGCTGTCTCTCACGGCTATTCATTGAGAAGTGTTTCTGTGCCATGTGGGGCTGTCTCTCTGGTCAGGGAGTAGTGGCTGCCAGGCTTGCCTCTCTTGATGCTGTAGACCCAGCGTGTCTCTGCGGGAGGAGGAGATGTGGAGGTAGGCTGCATTCTGAGAAGAGGCTGCTCGATGTTTGACTGTGGAATTTTCCAGGGACAGGAACTTGGAGGGGTAGGAGTTGACCAAAGGGCGGCAGTGTTGCTGAAGCAGGTGAGACAGCTCAGTGGGGGCAGCTGTGTAAGTCACTCCTATTTTACGTTGTGTATCCATTTGCTCATGTACATTAGAACTAACCTTTTGCCTGCCACTCTCATCTTGGAAACCAAGAAGAGAGGGGTAGGGAGAAGAGTGGTTAGAAGCTATTTACTCAGTTCAGGTGAGAGCACAAATGGAAAAGGTTAGTGTTTTAAGTGAGGGAGTGAAGAGCAAGGTGCAAAGTTGGAGGCAAATATATTCCAGCATGTTTTGACAGTCTGAGAGGGCCTTTGGCAGATGTCTCTCCTAGAAAGGATCAGAAAGGCTGTGACCTGGGGACCCAGTATTCCAATTGCTGTGAACAGTCTTTATTCTTTGGTACATCCATTAGGAGGAGACTGATTCCAGTTGCTTAAAACCTGGCCTGATTTTATACCTGGACCTAAGGTGTGCTTTTGTTTCCCCAGCTCTTTTCAAGTCCATGTTTAAACTTGAGGGTGCACCAGAATTACCTGGAGGGCTTACTAAATCTCAGACTCATGCCAGGTGTGGTGGCCCATGCTTGTAATCCCAGCACTTCGGGAGACCGAGGCGAGAGGATTGCCTGAACCTAGGGACTTGAGACCAGCCTGGGCAACTTGGCAAGATCATTTCTCTACAATAAATCAAAAAATTAGCTGGGCGTGGTGGTGCATGCCTGTGGTTCCAGCTACTTGGAGGGCTGAGGTGGAAGGACCACTGGAGCCCAGCAAGTCAAGGCTGCGGTGACCATGAGCGTGCCACTGCACTCCAGCCTGGGTGACAGAGTGAGAATCTGACTCAAAGCAAACAAACCAAAATGCCCCCCCAAAAACAGACTTTTGGGACATATCATTAGGTCTGGGGTGGGCCGGAGAATCTGCATTTTAACAAGTTCCCAGATGCTGCTGCTGCTCCTTGCTTAGGGTCAACACTTTGAGAACCACTGTTCTAGTGCAATCGTTCTTACCCTTAGCCATGCATTGGCATCACTTGGTGATTCTGAAAAAATACTGCTGTTTGGGACCTTTGCATCTGAACTTTTAAAACTCTTAAAGTGATTCTAATATTCAGCCAGGGTTGGGAACCACTATTCAATGGCAAAAGCACAGGCTCTGGAGTCAAAACACGTAGGTTCCAGCCTGACATTATCTCTGTGATCTTGGTTGGGACAATGGCTTCACCTTTCTGACTTAGCCTTGGTTTCCTCATGTGGAACATGGGGAGAATAATATCTACATCATAAAGTTGTGGAGGATGATAAAAAGGTATGATGGCTGTGAAAAGGCTTCATAAATGATAAAACATTACATGAGTATTATTCTAGCTACAAATTAACACACTGAATCAAAGTGTGTATAAGAGTGTTAAGTGAGTATCAGTGATTAACACACTGCTAATCAAAGTGTGTATCAGAAGCATTGGTATGACTTGGGAACTTGAGAGAAATGCAGACTCTCGGGCCCTGTGCAAAACCTACTGAAGCAGTCTGCATTTTAACAAGATCTGCAGGTGATAAGTATACACATCAAGGTTGTTCTTGCCTCTGTCCCACTTTCAGGTGCCTGACTATAGTAGCTCCCTTTTGCTGCTGTAACAAACTACCACAAACTGACTTAACACAACAAAAATATCTTACAGTTCTCAAGGTTGTCCCAAAATGGGTCTTATGGGGTTAAAATCAAGGCATCAGCAGGGCTGTGTTCCTTCAGGAGGCTCTAGAAAAGAATCCCATTCCTTGCCTTGTCCTGCTTCTAGAGGCTGCCTGTATTCCTTGGCCCCTGGACACATCATGCCAACCTCTCCGTTCATGATCACATCTCCTTTGACTCTTACCCTCCTGCTTCCCTCTTTTAAGGACCTTTGTGATGACATTGGGTCCATCTGGACAGTCTAGGATAAGCCCCCCAATCTTAAGATCCTTAACTTATATCTACAAAGTACCTTTTGTCACGTAAGATTGCATATTCACAGGTTCCGAGGATTAAGACATGGACATCTTTGTTGGGGGCATTATTCTGCCTACCACACTGGTATTCTCTGCTACACAGATCTCTTTCCCCTCCATCGCACCCCCTCCCAACAGAGCCTGCCACTGAACCAGGCTCCTGGGAGAGGAGCTCTAGGAAAGTAGCCAAGACAAGCTGCGCCTGATTTTTTGCGGTGCCTAGACCAGCCATCTGCCTTTGATGATTTAGCTGCATCTTGCCTAAAGACAAAGGCACAGTGACATTTAATATCTTCCCATGCATGACTAGACTGGTACATATATTACTATAAAATACTATGCAGTGGTGTGAAAAGAATGGGATAGGTTTATATGTACTGATATAGAGTGACCTCCAAAACATGTTGTTGATTGACAAATCAAGTCACAAATCAATATGTAGAGTCTGGTCACACTTATAAAAATAACCAGGGCCGGGCATGATGACTCAAGCCTGTAATCCCAGCACTTTGGGAGGCTGAGGTGAGAGGATTGCCTGAGCCCGTGGGTTCGAGACCAGCCTGGGCAACATGGTGAGACCTCATCTTTACAGTAAAAATAAAAATAAATAAAAAATTAGCCAGGCGCGGTAGCGCACACCTGCAGTTCTGGCTGTTTGGAAGGCTGAGGCAGAAGGATCGCTGGAACCCAGCAGGTCGATGCTGGGGTGGCCGCGAATGTGCCATGGCACTCAAGTCTGGGTGATGGAGTGAGATTCCAAGTCAAATAAAATTTAAAAAATATTAAAAAAATAATTGAAGGCCAGATGCAATGGCTCACACCTGTAAGTAATCCCAGCACTTTGTGAGGCCAAGGTGAGAGGATCACTTGAGCCCAGGAGTTTCAGACCAGCCTGGGCAACATAGTGAGACCCTTATCTCTAAAAAAACCCCTAAAATTAGTCAGTCATGGTGGTGTGTGCCTATAGTCCCAGCTACTCAGGAGGTTGAGGCAGAAGGATCACCTGAGCCCAGGAGGTCGAGGCTGCAGTAAGCCGTGATCATGCCACTGCACTCCAGCCTAGGTTAGAGAGTGAGACTCTGACTCAAAAAATATATTTTTAAACCCCAAAACATATAAATGCATAGAAAGAAGACTGTGAACAAAAAGTGAATAACTTTGAGGAGGGAGTGGGATTGGTGGGGGATGAAGAGTCACGATTTACTTTAAATACTTCTTCCTTGCCATATATTTTCACAGTGAGAATATATTTAAGTAACTTCAAAAGAAAAAAAAGTCCCCTAGAACTTCCTATTCTGGCTCAAGCACCATTTTGCAAAGGGCTTTTCCAGACCACACAGAAATGCATGTGAATGTGTGTCACACACACAGTATACAGTTATGCATCCCTTAATGATGGGGATACATTCTGAGAAATGCATCCTTAGAAGATTTCATCATTGTGTGAACACCCTAGAGTGTACTTACATACACCTTGATGGCAAACCTGGATGTCTAGCCTACTACACACCTAGGTTATATGGTATAGCCTGTTGCTCCTAGACTACAACCTATACAGCATGTTGCAGTACTGAATACTGCAGGCAGTTGTAACACAATGGTAAGTATTTGTGTATCTAAACAGAGATGCTGGGTGCGGTGGCTCACGCCTTTAATCCCAGCACTTTGAGAGGCCAAGGCAGGAGGATTGCTTGAGCCCAGGAGTTCGAGACCAGCCTGGCCAACATTGTGAGACCTCCTCTCTACAAAAAAATTAAATTTGCCGGGTATGATAGTGGGTACCTATAGTCCTACCTACTCGAGAGACTGAGATGGGCAGATTGCCTGGGCCCAGTAGGCTAAGCCTGTGGTGAACCATGATTGTGCCACTGCACTATAGCATGGGTGACAGAGTGAGACCCCGACCAAAAAAACAAACAAAAACCAGAATCCAGTTCCAAGGAGGAGTAGAGAAAAAAAAACTTGAAGCATGCATGCTGGTCTGAATGAGACGATAAGACCAGGTGGGATGAAAAGTAGCACTGAGCAGACCTAACTGGAGATGAACAGAAAAACATTTTTGAGGGTTATCAGGAGCCTG